TGTGATCCCCTCCATGAAATGAAAACACTTATATTTATATGGTACTTTTCATCCAGAGAATCCTAAGGTGCTTTATAAATTATACATATATAATGTTCCTTATGTAAGGTCCCTGATGTTCTCCATCCACAAAATCCAGTTCCTGGTGGCCAAAATCCTCCCCTTCCACATTACTGACTATTAAATATTTCTGTCAGATCACAGTTTTCTGTCTTTGCAAAAACTCACTATATTGAAAGATCTACAATTTACACTATTTGTCTTCTAACATATGCTGCATCCCTCCTGCCCAGAGCCCTTCCCCCACTATCATGGAAAGTGAATTCAATTAGATTTAAGACAAAGAGTAATTGCATTGGAAAATAGAAAAAATATCTCATCCCAGAGTGATTAAGCTCTTTACCTTATAGAAGGAGTTTAACTCTTTCATGAAAACAGGATCCTATAAAATAAATGAATGCAGGGATTTGCTAAATCAAAGTATAGTGTCTTAAAGCTAATTCCCTAGTTAATTCCCCAACTTATTGCTTAGAGAGAATAATGTCCTCCTTGTAAGATGTATCAGAAACATAAAATCAAGACTAAAACAATTAAGGGCCTTAAAATTTTATTTTTCAACAATTCTTATTTTTTAGTAAGTAATTTCAAAATCTGAAATTTATTCTAAACTCTTGGATTCCTGAAAATGAATTGAATCAGCTACTTTCCTAGAATTCTTTTGGAAACCTTGATTTTGGTAACCCTTACCACGTATTCAATAGAATTGATCCAAGCCAAGACTGAGTTATCCATGCTACCAAAACTGCTTTGCCTGTAGCTTCTGACTGGTTGCTTGTTGGTGCTCATTCTGACTTAGGCAGAAAGATGAAAAAGTACCGTAATGTGACAGGTTCTTTATAGAAGAAGTCCTAGAATTTTGATGACCAATAGCTAGGGATGGCATACAGGACTGTCATTTCCAATACATAATTGAAGTAGGAAGGATGGTGTCAACTTCAAGGGAAACTTAAAAAGTAAATATTGGGTCAGGGCGTGGTGATGCACACCTGTAATCCCAGGGGTTTGGGAGGCTGAGGCAGGGGGAGCACAAGTTCAAGCCCAGCCTCAGCAATTTAGCAAGGCCCTAAGCAACTGAGTGAGACCCTCTCTCAAAAAAAATATATATAAAAAGGGCTAAGTATGTGGCTTAGTGATTAAGAGCCCCTGGGTTCAATCCCTGATTAAAAAAAAAAAAGAAGAAGAAGAAGAAAAAGAAAAAGTAAACACTGGGACATCTTGAAAGAATCTGGAATGAAAAAGGACTGGAAGTACAGCTCAGTGGTAAAATGTTTGCCTGGCATGCACAAAGCCTTGGGTTTGACCCCCTAACATCACCCACACACACACACACACAAAAAAAAAAAAATCTGGAAAAAAGAGGTCAAATGTACAAATAGAGGCTGCCATCAACCCTGTGGGGATGCCTACTACAGATTTGAGTGCAGCAAAGAGAAGAAATCTTTCTCTAATAGGGAAATAGGTACAAACTTTAAACTAAGAAATCTGCCTCCTTGGGCCTTTTCACACCTATATTACTTAGGCATTTCATACCTGTCAGTATGGTTTGTGTGAAGTAGGATTGCCAAATTTCTGAAGCTAGCTCTCTTCTAATACCTGAGATAAACTGTCCTTTGTAATGGTAAAGTTCTATAGGTCCAATCCCAAATAGTCCTGTTTGTTCTCTTTAATATCCAATAAGACAGGGACTGTACATTTTTATGTCACAATTGCAGAAACTCTAGCAGTACAAAGCATTGGCTTGGTTTTGACTTGAGTTTCTCATGGCCACATGGATTTTTTTTTTCTCTTTTGAGGGATGCCAGACCAAACCACATGGGTTTTTGATCATTGATGAGACCCTATTTTGCATTGGTTAATGTCCTAATAGGATGGTAGGTCTGATTTTAAAAGATAAAGCAAGGGAATAAAAGTCAAATATTGGTGTCACATGTTTTGTACTACCTATCTTACTTACCACAGGATCTAATTTTGCCCCATTCCTAAGTAGAAATAATGATGTCTGTAACTATTTATAAATTCATTAATATTATTCTTTGAGATCTGCTAGTGAAAGGCACTACACAAATAAATCCTAATGTTAATATATCTATATTTTCCCCATATCTTATGAAATCTGTTGTATATATGACAGATTTATTTACTTACATATACTTAGTTTGTTACTCTTAGCAAAATTTGTGTCATGATAAATACTTTAAAATAATTTTACATTTTAACAAAGGATTAGAGAAGCTGATTTATAGACTTGGAGTGGGAGAAAAGGTAACATAAACCCACCATCTATTTGGGTCATAGAATCAAGGAAGTTTAGATTTTTTTTTTTTTTTTGTGGTCTTGTGTATTGAACTCAGGAACTCACATATGCTAGGCAAGCACTATAGCACTGAGCCATACCCTCAGCCCACTAACACTCTTAAGTGATATTTTTAGTCAACAATAAGGTAGGTCCAAAGGAGAACCTATAATGAAATAACATAAAGATTATTTTATAATCTAGAAATGTGTGAGTTGGGAGAATTAATGGCTCTTCTAACTCCTTAGATAAAGAGTTGTTCTTTTAAGTCTGGTGAAGGTCATTTTCAGGACAGTCTAGGAGAGGTTACAGTTCAATTTCCACCATCAGGCCTTCAGAAAGGAAAAATGGCTTGAGGTCTTGAGCCGCTATGCTTTCTTCCACCGCCCCCCCCCTCAATTAAAGCTGGTAAAATGCAAATGAGTATCTGTATTTTGAATATTTTATATTTCTCCAAAAAAAAAAAGGAAATTATCACCTTTTCCCAAGACTGGAATGGAGAGAATACCATCTAACCATGATACAGTGGGCACCAGTGTATACTCCAAGCTGCTCACGTAAATCTTCCCTGACAGCAGGATTTGAACAAAACTCACCACTTAATTGAATAGTTCAAATGCCACTGAGTAAGAAATTCTAGTTAGACCAGAATATTTGTAAACTTAAAGCACACACATATATTCTGGCAGTGTATACGATATTTTGAAATATCAAAAAAAAAATTTAAAGGATTCTTGTATTCTCATGTCGGATATGGGTATTATTTTAGGACTTTGAAAGTATTCCTTTGATACTGTAGCTGTTTTTTAAACAACAACAACCTTGCTTCGTTTTCCTTTTTATTTTGAGCTGTTTGCAATCCCTTTTTGAATAGTGAGAAACAATGCAATTAATTTTCTCCAGCGCAATCATGCATAGATTTAATAAGCATCCGAAGGTAGGATCCATCTGTAAAGTATGCGTTGCATGCTAAATTACTTCTCTTCTGTGGTTTTTTTTTCTTTCCAAACCTTAATTAATTGAAGAAAAAAATGTTTATTAAAGTGGGAACAGGCTGGGCCCTGGCTCTCCGTCTCTGGTTCAAAAGTTCATACAATTCCCCGAAGGCTCATCTGAATGTGTGTGTCTCCCTCTCACAATCTTTCTTTCTCCGTCTCTGTAGTAGGGATGAATGCCTAAGAAAGGTGTGTTACTTTGTTCCCAAGATCGGTTTTAATAATCTTAACTCATTGAATGATCTAACTTTTTATGTATATAGATTTACATATATTATTTAGGCTTACATAAACGGTATATAAATAGACACATAAATGTGTTATTTATGCATTTTTTATTGCTTAGAATTTTAAAAATGACATACTTTCAGGGGCATCTTTAAACAGGATATAGATGGATAGCAGGAAGTATAATTCTACAGGTGGGTCTCAGACAGGAAACTAAAGAAATTATGTATGAAAATGAGCTAAGTCTTTATAGATAAATTTGACCAGAAGAAAAATATTAAATATTTTTTAATATTTTAAAACAGAGAAATATTTACCCATAAACAGACAAATATGGAAAAAAATAATAGGAAATGACTCACTCTTGTGAGATGCTTTTAAAATGGAAGACATTTCCTGATCTGCAGCCAGCTTTATAAGACTTAGGTGGAAACAGCAAGTTTATCGGAAAAGAAAACTATTTACTTCAAAGATGTACTCAGAATTTTCCCAATTACTTCAGTCACTTACCTAGGATGTCATTATCTTTCTTTCGTTTTTTCCAAGTATTACTTTTTTTCTCCTTATCATTTTCTATAATTCTTAGATGCTTTTCATTCAAAGGGCTAGTTTCTCTTATTTTGCTTTAAAGTAAGGTTAGTTTTCTCCTTTAACACAAATAAGATTTCACAGTTACCTCCAAATTTAGGCTTTATAGAATCAGAAAGCACGCTAAACTTGACTGTGATCTTGCCTGACCGAAGTCAACTTCCCTTTGCCGGGTAACTTCTTGAAAATTATAGTAATCATAGAGGAGCTTCAGAGGGGGTTTTCTACAGGTTGTTTCGTTCTCTCTTGGGGCTCTTGTACAGGATGCATAAAACCACTGGTCTATGGTCGTCATTTTTAAAAAAAAAATAGATGTTTAAGTTGGAAAAAAAGTAAGAAGCATAGAAAGCTATTTTAGTTTGATACAGGCATAGCCTTTATCAGCCTGATTCTTTTTGTCATGTACATGTACCATTATATACCCTTGCCTTCTGAGTGTCAAATGAGCTATGGGGACTTTCCTAGAAAGAATTTTAAAGAATCACCTTTTCATATTTTCCTCTCAAAGATATTGTAGCCACTGCATATTGACATGTATACATTTGGGCCACTCCTGAAAACTTGTGAATCAGATCACAGGGAGGTGATGCTAAAAACTGATCTCCCAGAAAACATTATTATGAATGTCTTGGAAACTTGGAGACTGTGCTATGTAGGTTATATGCTCTGTAGGGTGTCTATTTGTGTGAATAACATGTCATCATCTCCCCACACCTAAAATTCTTTTGGAAGAATCTAGCTATTGCTTTCTAAACAAATTTTGGTTGAGACTTCTGTGAAAACCCTGAATTCAATAGCTGTGGGTTTCACAAATTGCATGCATGTAAACAACATACCTTTGAAAGGCGGATGTGTGGGCCCTTTCTCCTATATGCTTATGTCTCTGTTGTCGTAGATTGGCGTCCTTTGTGAGCTATTCAGTGACATTTCAGAACCATTTCGCTCTGCAGAAAACCCGCAGTTGTGTTTCTTTAGCTGACACTGTGGCACTTGCACTCGAAATTGCTAGTTAGAAAAAAAAATTGTTGAGGCCGGTGGCTGTAATCAGCGTTGTTGCTGTCTGTTTCCTCAGACTAATAGCAGAGCGATCCGAGTCTGAGAGTTCAAACAGAGGTTATCTTTCCCAGGTAGCATCTCGTCCAACGAGAATTTGATGTTTTTCTATAGGACTTTACTCCATTAGATTAATGAAATTTCAATGAGAGCCTGGCGCCCCCTGAAGCTTTGTTAAGAAAACAAATGGTGATTCTGTAGGTGTGACAGCTTGCTTGGAGAGTTACGAGAAGGTGAATACATCCCCACAATCCAGGCAGCCTGGAACACATTGATCTCTATTTAAAGCACCAATCGGATTTTTGTTAATTATAAATGATTGATCTGCAGTTTTTCCCCCTCTCTCCTCTTATATGTGTGCTTCCCCCTCCTTCCTCCACTTCTAACTTCTTTGCATGCTGAGTGCAGAGCTTTTTGTTTAAAGAGACAATCATAGAGAGCAAATTATAGCAATACCCAGCAGCGATGCTATTGTGAATGTCATTGTCAGAGCATTCACTGTTCACCCGATTGAGGTGAGCCTGAAGTAGATTTCAAACTGACTCCATGTTCCCTCTTCACTAGGCTCATTCCTAAAATAAAGGATTGTTTTTAACAAAAAGAAAGCCTTAGAATCCTGAAACTAGTATCAGAGACAGTTATTACTATTTTAAAATCCAACTTATAAGCCACATAAACCAAATCCAGCATTAACTCTGAGCCAGAGTGCCTACCTTGTATGCACCAGGATATGATCCGTGTCCAACTAACCCCGCGTGAGACAACAGGGAAAGCCGAGGGAATAGCTCTGATCTTAACTCTCAATTTATAGGCATTTAGGTGATTAATTCACCTTTTATCACCTGTGTGGAGTAGTTTTTTAAACATGCTTAGAAGTGAAATTGTAGTAAAACAATGACACGTGTAGCGTTTGCTTAGAAGTGAAATTGTACTAAAACACTGATAACTGCTCATCACACCAAGTTCTGAAAGAACACAGAACTGTCCCTAGCTTCTTTGTAGACCTATCTCTAGTAAAAATATCTGAACATTAAATGCATTTATTTATTTATTGGATACAAAAGCACATAGTTCCTTCTCTGTTATTTATAACATATACAATATATAAAGAAGATAATTTACACAGCTCTTAGAAATGAAAACTGACCAATTAAAGAATACAGGTCTTAGGGTATTACACTGAAAACTACACTGATTTCAGACTTCTAACTCACATGTGAATTTTTACAAATGTCTCTTTCTTAAGTTTGAGCCTTTAATTAAGTTTTAGGGCATATATCTTCAAATCAGAATAACAAACTTGCTCAGTGCTCTTTTTTTTTTTCTTTAATTATCTAGATAATCCATGCAATGCATTTGAGACCTTTCTGGACCAATAATCTTAAAGTAGTTTATAGTTTGCAGTGACACTCATCTATAAAATCCTTTAAATTTGAAGAATTGTTGCCTCATTTCTTTGAATGTCCTAAAACTTTGCTTAACTTCCCTATGAATTGCTATGTGACTAACCACAGAGGGTAAACTCTTGACAACATAAGGGCAATTTTGCGTTGCAAACAGTAGCATAAAATGAACAGGGACCTGGAAGCATAACATTCTATAATATCCCGATACCAAAAATTCTGTAACTTTTGGAAGATGCTTGCTATTGGTTTCCAAAGAGGTTCATCATCTAAACACCAACCTCATAGAAGTTCTGATAGAACTTTCCCTGTCAGGTAATTATTTAGTGATCCTGTAAGTATTCTCAGGAAAACTAGACATAACATGCAATTTTTGTAATATAACATTTTTTCACAGAATTTTTAAACATTTATTTTTTTCTCTTAAATATTGCTTATTGTTTTTAAGCTCAATTTAAAAAAATCAGCCAAAGTTATTAGGGCAAATGTATAAGTAATTGTAATTATGACTTTTAAAATCACATTTTAAATTAGTCAGAAAAAAAAAAGCAATGTGGCTTTTTTTTTTTTTAACAAATGTTAGGCCATCAGAACTGTTGTTAATGTCAATAATTAAATGAGTGACCAATAACAACATTAAGAAATGGGTGATCATGGTAAACTCACCAAATTATTTTCATAAAATGCTTCCAGAGGGCTGATTTTAAAATGTTTTAATTTTATCCTGGTGTAGTTTTTTTAATAAGCTAACTAATGATTTTCATTAGTGTTTTTGTAATTTATGTGATTTTAGCCAGTTCTACCAAGGTTAAATAATTTAAAGAAATAAACCCTTATCTGATGTAAGATAGCTAATGAAGTATATTAGATACTTGCCCTATTGCCGTGCGAAATGGATCTCCAAAGCTAACAGCAGCTTTCTGCGGGAACACAAATCTCTATATAAATATCCAAATGTAGCAAGATGTTGCAAATTTTTTAAAGATATGCCATAAAAATAGATTAACGCTAGTATGCAGTCCTGTTCAGCTGAATTACAAAGGGATATCATGGGATTGCCAGTGACATTCACATAAATAAAAAATCAATTCTTAATGATGAGGCAGACTTGTTTTAGCGCATTACCCAGGTTAAATGGGAGCACACAAAGACATCAACTCCTATAAGACTAGTGGAATCATTGTATATTAATATGATTTAGGGAACTACACACCTCGATGGAATAATTGTTATTATATCTATAGAGCCAGATGGCACTTGGTGTAAACAGCCATTGAGCACCTCAAACACAAGTGCGGCAGGTGATCTTTAAGATGTTCCTGCATCCCGCTCACTCATCTTATCATCAGAATCTGCGTCACTCTTTGCAAAATGGTTTGATTGCCAAAACGCAAATTTTCTCAGAATGTTCCTATTGTTTAATAGGAATAAGGAATATAGGATGTCCTTAGCAAAGTAGATGAGACAGAATAGATGAGGCAACTACCTGGATTCGTGTGCTTTTCTACTGTATATTTTACAAGAGAGAATGGAGTCATTTTTTTTTCCTCAACTCCAGTTGCAAAATTAAAAAAAAAAAAAAGTATTTTTAGAAACTTTTAAAGCAATGAGCCCACAAATAACCCTATGAAAGAAGCTAAGAGGTATAAAACATCTGGTGTTCCAAAGCTAGAGAAATTCAAGTTCTAAGCAGAAATATCTTTAATTTATTATAAAATGTCTTTCTTTGTTTTGGATATTTAAAATTAACTTTGGCTAACCTTAATTACCCAATGAAAGAAAACTCTTTCATTTATTCAACAAATGTTTATTGAAAACTTACTATATGCTAGCACTGTTCCAGGCACTGAGGATACATCAGTGAAAAACAACTTTAGTCAGGTAAGACCTACATTCCTCAGGGGGATGATAAATGATATGATATATGATATATGTGATATAAAATATAGGTGGAATGAAAAGGGAAGAGATAATATGCTAAAGGATTGATATTTGCCTTTCCTCTTAAAATGTAAAAGTTTATCTAAGAAAAATAAGAGAGACAGGGAGAGTACTTATTTATCCTCCAAATTCATTGATCTTGTGAAATTTCTGGGGAGTGTCAGATAACACACCTGCTACTATATCCTCAGCTCAGTGATCAGGATTAAATCATTAAAATAAGGGTTCAATATAAGTTTGGATTTTTTTGACTTGAATTAAATTTAATTAAGTTACCTAATTTTTATGGTTTGGTTTCTTTCTTTTGATAATAACATTAAAAATCTTATCCTCTTTAGTTATGAATAATTTTTAAATTGCTCTTTGCTCTACTTTATAAACCATGTTTTCTGGTTTTCTGATTATTAAGGACATAAAACTGCTCTCATTGAGGAATCTTTATCAGAGTAGATTTAGTGCATTTATATTTCCAAATATATAAAATAGGTTTCCCTAGTGTCCAAAATAGAGGAGGCACCTCAAAATTTTGCAATCTCATAAGTCAAATTATTCTGTCCCCTAATGGCAAAATTCACTCTAATACTGAAAATATACCCACCACCCTATTCCAGGAGGCACTACTGACTAACTCCTGAATTCTAAACTAATGTTCAATTCTTCACCAGATATAGTTTACAATATTACTACAGTTACTTTTTAAGTGAAATAATACATGCCGTGAAATACTCATTTCGTTTAGGTAAAAAAGTAAAATTCAATTTGTAATACATAGTTTCTATTCACGTCTACCTAGTTAAATATTAACAAAAAAACATGTATGCTTCTTGCTGTATGGATAAAAAAATACTAAAAAGATATGTTACAAAGTGTTAAGATTGACTCCATTATACTATAACACAAGGGATAACATTTATTCTTTCCTTTATACGTTCCCATATTATAACTTTTTTTCTATAGTGAAGTTGTATTTTTTGTGTAATCAAGATTAAAAAAAACTCTCAATATTATACTTTAAAAGCTAACAGAGCCTACAAATTGATGTTTTTTACTTAACACAAAAGCTCACAGCTGGCAAACAGATGCAGATCAGTTCTATAAGCATCGTGCTTTAAATAATTCCATGAAATTACTAATTTTACTTATTTCTACTCATTGTATTTGAAAATACAGTGCATATTTGACTAATTTATTCCTTCTATTTCCAGGACATAAAATATCTTTTTTAAAGTTGTAGTAGGGATATTTCTACAAGCAATATACCAGGTATATCAAATTTCATAAGGAAATATGTTTTTAATTTCAGTATGGTGTTACTCATAAGGATAAGTATTTATGAATGTACAGGAAAAAGATAAGCCTGGAAACTTTGTTTCTTTCAGCAGTCAACAATATTTAGCCTATCAGAATGCTTGAATGGATAAACATTCCTACTGTTTTAATTTTGAATATAGATTCTCTCGTGCTGATGGGAAGTATTGTTAATTTTAATAAAATTAACTTTATATTGTTATTTCACCGCTTTATAATAATTTTACATGGTGCCCTGGGGATGCCTCTGTTTTACATTATCAGGTGTCACATTTGCCATTTGGTTGGTATAGCAGCGTTCAGCTTCACTTCTCTATTCAATTGCCTGAAGCCACACTATTCACGTTATATTACAAGTAGCTATATTGCTATACACTGCACAAGTTTATATACTTTTATCTTATATGTGTATATCATTTTTGTATTTTCTTAAAATCATTGTTTTGTGTTTTTCCCCAGCATTCTTGTCGATTGCCTTTAGGTAGATACTGTTATGATAACAAGTTGGCTACGACAACTAGCTGTCTACTTCAAGTATGAAAATGTTCAAATTTATTTTCATTCTGGGAGCCAGTCACTATTTTGATAGAATCTTCATTGTTTTTGATGAGTTACTACTTGATCCTTGATCAACCCA